ACTCTACTATCAAATGCTCACTTATAGTGAGAAAATCATTCTCAAATTTGCTGGCTACTAGAGTATCCCACTGATGACTTTTCATCATATAACGTATCATTTCAATTTATTTCTTACATGTAACAACTCATGATGGCCAAGTTAGCATCTATCTTAAAAATTGTTACTTTAAATCCAAATCATGTAATAAGAAGAAAATTGATTCAATAGTAATAACTCTTGTTAAATACATATACAAGGATTACTGTCTTCATTGTTTATGATATGATAATGTGCACTTTTCATGCATCATATGTATCATACCTGTACTGTGTCTGTATGATGAAAGGCCCTAGAAAATGACATTCCCCCATGATTTTCATACACCACAGTCACCATCTTTCCATTGTCTGGGAATGTCAAGGCTATTCCGTCTGCCATCTTGAAGTTGAAAAGCAATTTAAAATTATGATTAATAGGCCTTTCAGTTCCTAAAATGACCTCCAAATACTTTTGAAAACAAGAGCCCATAAGCCATAAAATTCATCCAAGAGACAGTTGCCTTGTTGATCTTTAGAAGATTTTGCATTTTTCCCCTTTCCACTCCCATAAAAATTTTAATCCTATATTTGGCCCAAATCTAGCCCCAAGAGAATGTGATTTACTAAGTTTGATTCAACATGTTGGATGCTTTAATTCCAAAATGACTAAAATGGTCTTAATGTTCAGGAGGAGATTTTTTTTTACATATTTCTTTTTTTCTTCTATATCTTCACCTGTGAACCTTTGATCTTCTATTCTGGCATCTCCTTACTTACCCTTGAAGGCCTAATATGAATTTGGTTGAAATTAGCCTATTGGTTTTGGAGATCGAATATAGGTTTAGAGACATACCAGGTACAAAACTTACCCTTCTAGACAGAATTAACAATTCCAAGCATTAACATAATACTTTATGTAAGTCCAATTAATATTTTTCCAATGGCCCTTGATCATTCAAGGGCAAATAAAGTAGTTTACATTGTACTATGTGTGCAAGTACATGTACTGGGAAATAGGGTTTACTAAGAATTACTGAGAAGTAAGTTATGAGCAGTGAACTTCTTCAAGTGAACACTTCAAGACAATATACCGTACAGCGGGGTGCTAATTTTGGCTTATTTTAGTGGTTTGGTAGTAGCCCGCTAAAATTTTAATCACTAAAATATTCAGTATTCTTCTTAGTGTTCTTTTGCAATGTGTTCAAACCCTGTGTCCGCTAAAATTAATTACACCAAAATGATTGGCATACATCTGAACAAGCAAAACGCCAAGAAATCCCGCTATACGATAACTGTATCATAATGTCAAACCTCCTTTCTCTTTATCTTCTTTTCCAAGACCTACAATAAAGAAACATTTGCTGATGTATCCATACTTGTATAAAAAAGTGTTCTTGGGAAAAACTGCTAAAATCCAATTTAAAAAATAAATAGCACTTTTTAAAGATATTTAATATGGTATACACTTACATCACAAAATGCTGCTACTTCACTGTCCATTAGCTGAAAATAATCAAAGAATCTGATATACATGTACATGTATACATGTACATATATGTTGAGAAACTGCCACTTTTATGATTTCTCATTTGATTGATTACTTTTTGATATGAAGAACAAGATAGCAGTAAACATATATAATACATGTATTCAATATTGACAACTTACTGGCAAATCCTCTAATACCAGTACATCCTCCTTCGAAAGCTGAAAGAAAGAACAGTAAATACTTTTATGCCCTGTTCACACCGAGAATTTACTAGTAATCTGAATGTAAGTTACAGCAAATTAAATTTGAATCCCATTTACACGGAGATTACAAATTAATTTAATTTGAATTAAATTACTGTGCATCAAATTACTCCGCATTAGCTCTTTAGATAATTAGAATTAAAATTCTGACACGTGCGTAATGGCAAAATCAAGTCGCATGCCACATGTCAGTGGTCAGATATGGGTACTTATGCTATTTTTTTTTTAGTGAAAAACAAAGTGAAATTATGCTTATCACTGAAATGATTACAGACACCATGCCATTATGTCTAATGGATCTGCTCTGCACAATGTGAAGTGATTTGCAAATGACATCATGATAGCATTATACAACATGTGCGAATCGGGGGGGGGGGGGGGGGGGGGGGTCGGGTCCCTAAAAGGACCTTGGACGCCTCACTAGCAAAGCGCAGACCTCTGTTAAGTAAAGTGGGTATGAAAAGTCATACATATAAAGATTAAGAAATGAATGAGAACACGCATTATTTCACTTCTCATTAATTTACTGCGAATTAAAACTCTCTGTGTGAACAGGTCATTACATTAACTATCTCATTCCAAATCATTGTTAAGAAAAACTAGACTAGTGAAGTTTTAAGGAAAAAAGTAGATTGCTTGATGTTAAATTGTTGCTTATTTCAATATCATAATCATTTCTATACACATATGTATAAATGTATTGTTTAAAGATAACAAATATGTGTACTTAGTATACATTATCTTTTACATACAGCATCAGACTTAGGATCTGTATTAATGTCTGAAGAAAGAGAGGGTACCTCAATGTCTGGTAGCTCATCAGAAATCTAAAATATATATAAATATATATGTATATACAATGAAAAAAGTCAAGATTCTCAAGACCTGAAAATTCATTTTATCTGTAAGTGCTTCCTGCCTTTTAACCTTTAATGGCTCTTCAGATCGACAGTTACAAAATGAATCTCAAATTGCTTAGTAACATTCCACAGGCATCGGAAATGGGGGGGGGGGGCTTAGCCCCCACCACTTTTTTCAAAAGACGGACATAATATAGGCATTGAAAATTGGGGCTTACCTTTTTCTGTTGGTTTAGCTCCCCATTTCAGTTACCGGGGTAGCCCCCTCCCTTTCAATTTGCTTCTGATGCCTATAGATGTGTTCATAAGCACAACATCAATTATGAAGAAAAAAAAATACTTCTACCAACAAGATTGATAACTCTTGTGTCTAACAATGCTGCCTATCATTAATAAGGAATACACATAACACATGAAGTTTATGACAAACAGACCCAAAATTATGCACAGACTGAGTAGCCAATTTTAGTCCTTTATTGAATTACAATTTAAAGGCAATGGATTGGTAAAATGTTTGCACAGTTAAACTGTTATTTTTCCTGGACTCATAAAAAGCCATAAGCTAGTTTTCATCTTTCAAATATCAGCAATAGAATATATATTATTAAACCAGAATGCACACCTGGAACTCATGATCGATGTTGACTAATTCTAAAGTTTTCTTTGTTTTTACATTTAAGTGCATTTGTGTTTGTTTGTAATTAATCATACATGCAATTGATGTTACTTTCCCCCTGACATGCTATAGCTGCATGAACTTGACAATTTTATGGAGACTGAGCATCAATAGCAATATAATTTAGATACTAGTTTATATATATGTCTATACAAGTAAGATCTGTACAGCAAAATCTTCAGACTGTGAAGAAGTCTGCGGTTTATAATAGTGCTCAAGAAAAAGATTAAAATGAGAGAAAAAGGGAGGAAAATTTTTTCTTCTTCAATGAGTCATATTTAGCTTTAAGTTTATGACCATGAACAATATCCCCCATTGAAAAGTATTTAAAATACAATTGAAAATATTCACATGGATTCATTAGGAAAGTAGCAATCTACTTGTACTAAAACATACTAACATACCTCATTTTCAACAATGATTGGAGACAACTTTCTTTTTCTTTGTGGTTGTTCCTCTGCATTACTGCCTAGTGGTGACCCTTTCCCATCTAATTCCTTTGATGTTGATGGCTCCAAATCCTGCACATAACCATTATACAGCTTGCTAGAATAATACTAACATAATACAAGTCATATGTGATTACGTGTAATTATAAACAAGGGCAGACAACTTACATAACATTCTGTGGATGCTTTCATGTCTCGTTTTTTCTTTTCCTTTTGGGTCTGCAAATGAAATATCTTGTGACTAAGGTGACCAAAAATCATAATGAATCCTGTTACCTTGTGTAATAATAAAATTATGACTAAGTTAATAGCAAAATGTTTGTTATTTGATAGATTATCCAAATTTACTGAAAGTTTATTTAAATTAATAACTATAATTACCAAAAAAAAAAAAAAAAAAAAAAAAAAAAAAAAAAAAAAAAAAAGAAAGAAAATGGAGGAACTGTTGGCAACAGGCTAGCAAAATGACACCTAGTTATTTAATAGAGTTTTCAATAGCAAAAAATTGATTTTGCCATAATACCCATATGGTAGTGTGTGTGGGGGGGGGGGGGGGGTGTTAAAAAGCTATTGCGAGTCTCCTTAAATTTTTTTCAGTGGTATTGTTTTGGATAGGGTATATGGGTATGCCCAACTATTACAAATGTACCAATGTACATTCCAATCACTATTAGGAAAGTTTAAGCTGTAGAATGAAAAAAAACCAAAACAACTAGAAAGTCATGAAAAATAAACACTTACTGATCTTGATAATTCCATTTTCGGGAGTTTAAAATCATCATCAGAACCCTACATTTAAAATAAATGCACAATTTTTAAGTAAGTTCATCACAAAAGTTTCTAAGAATGTTGACTGCTTTATATGGAATTTGTACCCAGTATGATCTTTCTGATCAATTTGTCAGTTTACTGCATGTGGCCATCCCTAATAAAAATCTTCAAATATTACATGTAAGTTCAAATTTAAGAGAAACAATCTCTAGCTTTCATATAATCACTTATATTAAACAGAGCACACTATTAATTGGTACAGTGGTAAATTATATTTTGATGCCTAAAAATACATCCAAATGCATGCAGTTTCTTTCAAATTCTGGTCAATTTTAGAAATTTTGTTGACTTTCCCCAGTGAAGTTTCAGACTAATTTCTTCAATTGTGAAGCCACAAGAAACTTTCAAAAATTTTGTTTAAAAAACTTTCATAAACAACAATGGCAATTTACTTGTACTAAACATACCTCATTTTCAATAATGATTGGAGACAATTTTATTTTTCTATGTGGTTGTTCCTCTACATTACTGCCTAGTGGTGACCCTTTCCCATCTAATTCCTTTGATGTTGATGGCTCCAAATCCTGCACATAACCATTATACAGCTTGCTTGAAAAATAATTAATACAAGTCATGCAAAATTCATTTTAAACAGGGTCAGATCACTTACATAACATTCTGTGGATGCTTTCATTCCATGTTTTCTCTCTTTCTTTGGGGTCTGCAAAGGAAAAATATACATGTATCTGTGTTCTAAATTCCTTGAACTACATGTATTTTAAAATTACTTACTGCATAATCTTTAATTTCAAAATTGCACTTAGGTTCTTAAGGCATATCAGTGATGAAAGCAACATCATGCTGCCATAACAAAATGATTGAAACAGCCTTGCTGTTCATCAGAAATTTTTAGCATTTTACTTCCATATGCATGCATTTTGTGAAAATTGATACCCTATTTAAGCCAAATCCTATCCCTATGATCAATGTTTTTTGTTTTTGTTTTTTAATTGGAAACTTAAATCCAATGGAAGAGAAGGTTGCATTGCAATGTGAATAAGTGTGGCACTGAAACTATTGAAAACATATTTTTTTTTCATAATTTCTTTGCTTTCACATGTACCGGTAAATGGGTTTTTAACCCCCAATGTGACCCCATCCTACCTCCAGGTACCATTCAGTTCTTTAAATCTGCACTACAAAAGTCTCCATACATGCATATTAATGTCACATCATATTCCTGCTGCACTTGAGGAGGAGATTTCCAAACATTTTTTTTTCTATTTATTCAAATTTATATAAAATTTGGATCCCATATTTTATTTCACCACAACCAATCCTGGGGAAAAGGGGGTGGGGATTTGAACAAATATTTTGATGACATCCATCATATTTCTGTTTATTTTATACTCTCCCCTTCCAAGAGGGTGTGGTTCTTTAGATAAATAAATTTTCTCTTCATCAAAGTATGCTTTGTGCCAAGTTTGGTTGATATTGATCCAATGCTATTGGAGAAGTCAAAATATTAAATGTTTACTATGACAAAAACAATGAAGATTGACAATGGACATATTCCTATCATAAAAAGCTCACTTTAACCTTAAATTTGGCCCACGTGTTAAAAAAATTGATTATTATGATGTAACTACCTCAAGATCCAGCTCTTCAAAGTCTTCAAATTCATCAGATATCTTAATTAAAAAAAAAAATGATTTTTAAAAAGCTCATAATTGTACAAAGATGTAAAAAAAATATTTGCTATCAGTTCACCTAATCCATTATCTAGACTACCTCCAGTTATTAAATGAGGTGAACTGATCTAAATGCACATGTAAGTCTAAGTAGGATTGTTGTTTGATTTCATAATTAAGGATAAATAATACTAACAAAATTTAAATATCTTTGTTTAAATATGAGCCTCTCTAACTAAAGAAGTGATATTTGTTTAGTTGAACAACTTTATTTTTGACCAAGCTACCAAATTTGGTGAAAAGTGGGAAAATGTAACTTTATGGCTAAAAAATTATTTTTGAAAATTTAAGAAATATATGAATTTTTGTTACTGAAAAGTTTCTAGGAACATTTTCTAGTGTCTATTTTTACATTTTATATAATTAAAATTTTCTAATTAGATTTTGACTGAAAGAAATAATGAAAAAATAGCAATGTAACGCTTCTGTATGGGAGATAAGAAAATTTGATGTGGTATTGTACTTTTAATTCATTCATATATTAGACAGATTCCTTGCTGTTTACCTTATTCTTTGCATTTAAAGATTCGACAAGTCTATTAATTTAATCATGAACATACATCAAAAAATATCATATATACATGTATAAGCTTTAAGATACAAAGTATGTGTTTAAAAATATGATTTTTTTTTTTTTCTTTACAGAATATATTTTGTGACAATTTTACATTATTTTTGTGTCAGATCACAGAAATTGCACTTGCATGAATTTATGATCTAACACAACCAACAGTGAGAAATTAAAAAAAAAACAAATAAAGAGAAAGTTACTATATGCTACATGGAAAGTAAGAAATGCTGTAAAAATTATCTGAGTTTATCTATGGTTATTTATTTAAATCTTAACAAGACTATTTCTTTCTTAATCAATTAAAAAAAAAATGAAAAATTTACTTCATGCAAGCATATTCAATTCCCTTTATGCCCTAAAGAAGGAAAAAGTTATCTTCCCTCACACAATCTAAAACATCATTGAAAACACAGAATTTGTTGTCCCTTACATAAAATCTTTATTTTTAAGCTAAATTAAAATCATGATAAATCATTTTGTGAAAATAAATAACACTACCACAAAGTAATGCTAACTTTATGACATTCCTTGAAGTCATATCTGCATGTCATTCTGCCCACCATATTATAATTCTTTTGAAAATTACTTTAACTTAAAGATGCTTTTTTAATACAATAGGAAAAGATTAAAGTTATTATTCTCATCCTATAAGCACTTTACTCTAACATTACTATTTTCAACATTCTTCATTTCTTTGGAACTGTCAATTTACTTTATAAAAGATAAAAGGAAGTACATGTACATGGCACAATTAACTTTGAAAGCATTATATTCTTATTTATACATGTAGGTACAAATATATTAATTTTACAAGGGGAACATGGACTTAGATATGAGCAGACTGACAGAAAAACAAAATCATGAAAAGAAAAGATCAATTAATCAAATCATTACATGCTAGAATTCAAAGATTAAACAAAAAATAAATATAATTGTAAATCACTAAAACCTCTGATAATTTCTGCCCTTTGTATTTTTCTGTAATTTCTCTCCTATCTAAAACATCAAAAAGTGAAGAAAAATACAAAAGAAAACTTGTCAATCATTTACAATAACTTCCTTATCTGTGCAGCAGACATCATCTACATGTATATCAAATCTGTTGGAACTTCCACTTTCCAATTCACTTCAAGCTAACCATGGTATTTAAGATATCAATGTTTGAAATATTGAAGTTCAATAGTATTAATTGCATAACAAAATGTTTATCTTAAATAATGTTGTCCTCCATGCAATAATTTGGCTGCCATTATTTGAATTTCAAACAGGCAGACACAAAAGTACTTCATGATATTTTTTTTTTAAAAACATGCAGTACTGAAATTGGGCCATCCTTAAAAAATTGTTTGTTTGGAATTGCTGCCTATGGGTTTCCAACCCAGGAGGGAGGGAGTGAGCGCAATGGAAATATTGAGTACTCAGAATGTACATAAAAATAGTAAATAAGATCTTTGCATTTCAATAAATTGTCTATTAACTATGTACATGTATCTGCAAGCAACTTTGTTTATATTATAAACAACTTACACTGTAACAAAATAATGTGATCGGTATATCTCTCTGTGCATATTAGTCTACCATGTTGACGACACAATAACAAGTTACTCTTTCCCATAAAAATTAGGCCCCGCCTCCTTATATATAACTTTCCTTTTGCTGCATTATGAATATTCATGATTTTATTTGGAACATATCGGTACTTTTCACATTGTTTACAGAAATTGATAGGTGTTCCAAATAGGTGTGTATCAGTTCATCAAACTGACGCACCTTAAGTCCTTTTAGCAGGGAATCTGTCTTTTTAGGGTGATTTTCAAGAAATCAGCAAAAAATATCGATTTACTCTTAATTAGTGAAAAATCAGTACGGGTATAATAATGATTTCTATAAATGTGCTATTAGATGTATGTCCTTCTACAATAAAGATAATGAATTGAAATTAATTTTTTTCTACACTGTAGATGTAAATATTAGTGATAATTGCTGCCCATAACCCAGTATATAATTAATTATACAGTTAAAAGAATGTTCAGGCAAACACAAAACAATACCTTTTGACATGATTATAATTAAGTTTGACCTTTAAATATAGAAAAAATCCTTGTAATTACATCAAAGTGTTTCAAAGGTGTTTTGTATTTTTTTTTTTTAAGGATTAAGTGTGTGTAAATACAATGAAAGTTAGGTAAGGCTATCTTTAAATTAATATTTGTCTTTCCTTCCCTGACTTAGGGTAAAAACATTCATTCAGTAGGTAAGTAGGGATTTTTTTCCCAGAAAATTTCAACATCAATGCAGAATTTCTAAAATATATTTTAAAAAAACTTGTTGACAGGATGAGAAAATTCTAGAATGAAAATTTTAAAATTGATCATTTTCTTGAGGTAAAACAAAATTGACATGAGCCATTTTGAGCCAGTCAGTCGGGAGAGGGCAAATTTTTAAAGATGGCTTGAGGTAAATTCTCAAACAGCTCTTAAAGTATTACCTTTCCCTCTGGCCTTTGCATATATCTTTAGTGGTACATATTTCTTATTTGTTTTTAGTTTCTCCAAGTGACCAAGTGTGAATTGTTGGGGGTTCTCTATTGCTTCAATACCACATTTTCCCATTATGTAGGGAAGGAAAATAATCTTCCCTCTGAACATGTCACTAATTTTGGACATCCAATTTTCCGCATTATCGCTGTAGCTGGTTAGGATTTTCAGACAGCCACTAAGTCCATCATCCGTTGGGAAGGCTCTCTTCAAGGCCCTATTTTTACCATCCATTATATGAACAATCAGTTCCTGCAATGTTAATCAAACACATGTATATACATGTACCATACATGCATGTTAGTGAATTTCTGAATATAAGAAAAAATTAAAATATTTTTAATGTCTTTCAGCTTATACAATTCTTCATTAACAACTCTTGTAGACATGTATATGTATGCAAAAACATGTACATTGTATGTGAGGAATGACCATTTACTTTGTGTCAATTTATGTTTCACACTGTTATTATGACAACAAGTAACTGTAACATAAACTCAATCCATAGTCTCTCACTTTTGAAATGCTCCTATCTGTTTTTGGTTTTGGTTTATGCTTCAGGCTTTGAGGGCCATACTTCTTTTTTAGGAACTCCAGACTTTCTTTGCAACCTTAAAAGATTTACTTTAAAATGACTTCACACTAACAATAGAAACATAACACACATTATCAAAAACTTGTATTGAGACACAAATTCATACTTATCATTTTACTTTATCCTAGCAAAATCATTGTCTCAAAGATGTACTATTTGGGGAAATCCTTGGCCCTATGATCATGTTTGTTTTAAGCTCAAGACAAAAATTTATCTACTAAATTACAGGGTGTTAACAATTTCCATGACCGCTTGCTCAAAAGGACAAGTTTGAATCATAACCATTCATCACCATGATGACTTTCCTTGTCCCGACTACCAAAGCTCACTTGTCGACAAGCAAGCACAGATATTTCAGATTTCTTTTAAATTGATGATATTCATTAATCAGATTCTAAGTCTCCTACCAAATCTGGAAGCACTTTGCTTCATTTTCACACAACATGTCATATAAAGAGAAGCACATGAAAAATAAATTTCATAATGACTATTGTAAGTAAGTAAGTAAATCATTTATTATAGTGACATGCATGTGTACATATGATAGATATAAATATTTTGAGGTCTGCCTTGGAAAATTTGTTACTGTATTAAGGTTTTTCCTACAGGAAATCATCAATGCTTTTTATAAGTTGTAGATTATACTATACAGTCATTAGTAAATTTACCTTTGGATAACTTTTGTTCAACACCTTTTATGTCTGCCATATCTGGGAGCACCTCACAATCTGAAAATTTAGAGAAATACATTATTCTATTGTATTTTCATGCCAAATGAATGTAGTATACATGTAATTATAGCAAAATTTCCATGTCATCAGTGTCAGAAAGCACCTCACTGTGACTACCTGTGAAGTTTCATATATACAGTTTAACCTTGTTATCTTGAACTTGATGGGACTGAACTTTGAGATATCCAAGGATTTGAGATATCAGGGATAACATACTTAAAGAATAAGTGGTTGCAACTTCCAAATCACTTTGACATATCCATGGCATCTGAAATATCACCACATGATCAGTGTTCAAGATATCAAAGTTCAACTAAATATTCATTAAATACAGGTAAACTTCCATATGTCGACATCGCGGATACATCGACAACCTGGGATATGTTGATGTCCGTCCATGCTCCCGGCAGTATTTACTAAATACTTCATTTGCAAACACTCTGATATGTCTACCTCGGTAATGTCGACAACCCGGTTTATCTCGACGTATATTCACAGTCCCAAGAGCAACATTTACCTGGTATATGTCGACATCGGCAATTTTCTGCTCTATTAAACCTAACTGTTTGTCAAATGGTCACTCGTCAGGCACGGATGACTCTGTGTATCTCGACATCATAAGAAATTCACACCTTTCACACCCATGTTTTGACTACACACTGATGAATTCATTCTATAGTCAGACTGTGTTTGTAGAAGAATCCCAAGCCCTTCGGTCTTCTTCGAGACTTTAATTGCTCAATTAAATGTTCAGCTTGGGCAATATCATCGATAAATCTATACGATTTTCGTTAAATGTACCGACGTTAATTAATATCAACATAAAGCACAACTTTTATAATTTGAAAAAGCTTACTGCATTACAATGAATAATAAACGCATTAAATTTAATTCTAACTAAGGAATTAAATGATGTTTTAAAAGATATTTTGTTTTAAAAATTCATTCAACAGGAACTTGAATAATCAAATTAATGACATGATTAACTGAATCAGCCTTAATTCATGCACAAGTAACATCACATTTTGTTTTTATGAGCTTTCTTTTTCAAATAAGAAAAAAAAAATGCATCTAATTTTTTTTCTGTTTCTCGGATGTCGACTTTATACGGTTCGAAGTTTATAGAGCACATTTCATATCCTGTTCTGACCAAAAAACAAGTTACATGTACACGGAATGGTGGAATTTTGGAAAACTTTGTAAATTTAGAAAGATTTCGATATAGAGAAAGAACTTATTTTATAAACATTATTTTTATTATAATTCCTTAGATTTGGTAATAAAAATAGAGGAATTCCTGAAATAAAATGAACTACCGTATAATGAAGTCATGTACGTAATAAACCTGTCTGGTTTGCTATGCAGTGAAATCTTGGGCGTCTTGGACATGAAGTCTCAACTCTGATACCTCAACATTTTCCGATAGTTCTGCTGATGTCGAGATAGCAAAGTTTACCTGTAATTGATTAATTATAATTTAAGGCAAAAGGAATTTGCTTCAAATCTAGAACTTCCGCAATCAATAAATTTACCAATGGATGGTTCTTTTTCAACATCTCCAGTGTCCTTGCTACCTATAAAATAGATAAATGCATAAATAACTAGTAATATTCTAATAGTAATGAAAATGGTTACAAATGTTCCTAAAAACAGATACATGTACGTAGTAATGGGGGGAGGGGGGAGAGTTGCCAACTCCCCCAATTCTGTTGTGTTAAACCAGATTTTTTTTACCCATAACCCAATTATTTTTTATGGCATGGCGAGTCATGTTTTTCACCTGATTTTTGCTGAAGAACCCTAAATTTCCAGATCTGGTTTGTAAAATAGTTCATTCTAGTTTGATTTCAGCAAATAATTCACTGCAGATTCAGGACTGCATGTCTTCATTTTCGGTTCTTATTTAGTATTTACCATGTTTTCCAATAAAAAAAAATCCGAAACTATAATACATCAGAATGTTAAACTTCTTTTGAACATATTTCTGTTCTTCTCTGCTTCAACTTTTTGTTTTATATTCAGTTCATGACATCTCTCTCTCTCTCTCTCTCTCTCTCTCTCTCTCTCTCTCTCTCTCTCTCTATATATATATATATATATATATATAATGTAGTTATAACTTCACATACCTATTCTCATCCCACAATTCCCACAAAATTTGAGATTGTTGTGGTCAAACTTGTGACCACACTCTACACAAAACATATCTGTAAAAAAAAAAATACATATTTTATGATGCGATTTCTAATACTCCTGGCGTGTGCAGAAGACAATTTATGTTTTATTCTAAGACTCAATCCCTGACGAGAAAATTCGAAAGTTAGGTTTGAAAGTTCTATATCTTAACATTAATGTTTGAAAGTTCTGTACTTTAACATTTAAGCTTAAAACATTACTGGCGTGGTGTTTACTTCTTACCGTGTCTGTCCTACCTTGTAACTTTTGTTGTCGAAGACGTCTTCAGACTGTCACTTCGACTGAACGGTGAACACACATGTAAAGATCTCTCTCACATAGGCGCTTTGTATCCGTCACGCTAGAAATAATATTTCTCCACGCTCAAGATAATATTTCCTTCACGCTTCAAATAATGTGTGCAAATCTCTCTCACATTAACGCTTGTATCCGTCACGCTAGAAATAATATTTCTCCACGCTCAAGATAATATAATTCACGCTTCAAATAATGTGTACAGTCTGTCACAATAATAATGTTTCAACAAGGGACAGAGTTTTCGTTCCTGTCACTAGAAAAGAAGTTATCTTTCCCGATGAAAAATAAAGTTGTTTTCTACGAACAAGGCGCACATTATTATTGTTGCAAAATTAATGTGTGTGTTTTTTTTGTTTGTTTTTTTTTTTTTTTTTTGTTTCTGTTTTTTTTTTTTTTTTTTTTTTTTTTGCATACATATTTATTTCTATGAAAGTGTTTTTTTTTTAATTTTCAATCAGTAGTTGTTACTAGTATGCATTCTTATAAATCGTTGAAGTAAACGTAATATGATATAATCTTGGTGTAAATAAAAACAATGTACACACATCGACCGATTATAATTATTGCTGTTGGCAAGATTATAGTTGTAAAACATCAGAGGATAAAATTATTATTTATTGTTGGGCTAAATAAAGATAATTTGTACACACAGTATGGTAGTATAGTATGGAAACGTGATAATTGTAATATTTGCGGGGAAATATAATAATGTTGTAAAAAAAAAAAAAAGAAAAAGAAAAAAAAAAGCAAAGATTTTTTTTTTATTTTATTTTTTTATTTATTTATTTATTTTTTTTATTATTATTATTATTTTATTAATTTGTGGTACAATTATAAAAGTATAGGAATAATAATGATGTGGAGGTACCCAAATTATTATTGTTGCAGAAAAATAATAATGTTGTAAAAAAGCAAGATTTTTATTTTTGTATGAGATCATTATTTTTGGTATAGTTATATAGGAAAAAATAATAATAATGTGGGGGTACCCTACGGCTTTCCATAGAATAATAATAATGTGGAGGTACCCAAATTATTATTGTTGCAGAAAAATAATAATGTTGTAAAAAAGCAAGATTTTTATTTTTGTATGAGATCATTATTTTTGGTATAGTTATATAGGAAAAAATAATAATAATGTGGGGGTACCCTACGGCTTTCCATATTGATTAATATTTATCATTTAGAGAAAAAAAAACAAAAAACAAAAAACAAAACAAAACGAAACAAAAAAAAAAAAAACAAAAACAAAAACAAAAACAAAAAAAAAAAACAAAAAAAAAAACAAAACAAAAAAAAGAAAAAAACAAAACAAAACAGCAAATTAATGCGGGTGTGACCTTTTGCACAAAAAATATCATATTTGCAGTATTGAAAATCAGAACAATCAATTCAAAATTTTCGTGTTTCAAGCTTGTTATGACCTAAGCCTTTTTATGACTTAAGTGGTGTCAGGTTGACAATATCATCTTGTTTGAAATGACAAAAGAAAAAGTCGTTATTGTTGTAGATTTTGAGGTATTAGTCAAAATGCTATTTTCAGGCAAAACACTGTAAATGTTATCTTTACTTCTTAAATATATATATTTTTTTTGTCAATGTCGCGCAATTGTGTAAAATATCTGTTAAGCAGATTAATTGAAACTTAAATTTAATTTTCCTAGCATATAACAATAATTATTCCACAGTTTATTTCAAGTCCCTGTAGAACAGCTGCAAAAACAAAAGTTTCTTAAAACAACCTCAAACTAGTTTTAAATGTAACGGGACCGTTACAGGTGTTCCCCAAGAACTCCCCAACTCCTTTTTGGTGCCTTATTCCCTGTTAGGTTCATTATATCAAGTATAAAGGTCTTTTCATTCGTGGCACTTGCATGCATGTGCATGCATATCATGTCATTTTGTCAACATTAATTATATATATTTATATTCTAAGTATCAAAGCATTTTATCAAAAAGAAAAAAATTATGACTACACGAAGTGTTTTTGGTTGTTTCATGCATTAAGCGCTCTCAAGTGCATGCATGTTCATAAAAACCATGCCATCTTGTTTACACTATTAATATATCTTTATATCCTTAGTATAAAAGGATTTCATTAATAAAATATAAAAGTTACAGTGATATCAAGTATATAAGTCATTTAACGCATTTGACGTGCAAGCTTGTGTATGATGACCATGTCGTGTTGTCTAAACTACAAGTATTAATCTATCTTTATATCCCAAGTATCAAAAAATTTCATAAAAAATATAAAATTCACGGCTATATCCAGTATATTGGCTATTTAACGCATTGCTCGCGTGCGTACATGTCGTCTTGTCCACACTATTAATATATCTTCATATTTTAATATCAAAACATTTCATAAAAAAATATAAAAGTTACAGCTATAAAATATATTGGTCATTTTATGTATTGCACGTGCGCGCCCGTGCATGCATGCGCCTGTTGACCATGTCTTGTTTACACTTATAATATGTCTATATATTCTGAG